CTTAAATGATTAAAAGATTCTGATTCTGAATTCAAGATGGCAGATGGTGAAGCTCCCTCCTCATAAACAGCAGCACTAGCTTCTCCAGGATAATTTTCTGAAATCCAGATACATGGATACTAAAACCAATCTCTAAGATTTTTTTCAGCAAAATATGAACCTGTGAAAATCTACATGTGTTCCATGGTGCTTAGTTGAGCATCACAGGGTTCACATCAACAAAGACAAGGGACTTAGTGGTTGGGTCTATGCAATAAAAAAAAAAACCAACACTGAATCAAAAAGGAGTCAGTCTAGAGTTTTCGACCACCCTAATTACTGAATTAAATCAGCTGCAAGGCTGATCAGATCAATTGTACAGGAACTGGTCATTAACACAATTTAAAATAAGACAAACAAAATACTCATGTTGCTGGCTGTAAATAAAATAGTTCTTTGCTTCTTCTGTGGCTAGTGCCATCTACTACATCCTGACCACCTGTAGACCCCAATAGAAAGGCCCCATAAGGTGCCTAGAGCTGTGCTCATTTTATAATGTTGGTCACTCTGTTTTGATTCTTTTAATCTTCTCCCTAGGCTTTTTGCTCCCAAGAGCTAATTGTTAAACTTACATTGTGAGTATTTACACCTTGGAAATCAACAAACATTTCAAATCAGGGCTTGATTTATTGTTTTATTGATTCTCTAGATTTAAGAAAGTGATGGAGAAAATGTTAATAATGCAAATTACACTTAAATGTGTATTGGGCGTTTACTAACTCACTTGTATTGGCTAGACTGGTCCAGGGTTCAATTAGACATTTATATAGTGAGACACAGAGTCTGACAGCAAGAAAATCCACTATGGAACATGGTCCATGGATGTTACTTCCTGCTAAAAATCATGGGCTAAAGTATTTTTGAGTCAAGGTCCCCTAAATTGCTGAATCTCAGTTGGAAGGGAACTCAGAGACCACTTGGTCCACTCATACTTGTTTAAGGAAGCCCATCTACCATATCCTCAGACAGGTCTCTGCTTGAAAACATGTAATGAAATGGAGCCAACCACCTCCCAAGACCAACATTTCCACTCTTGGATAATTCTAATGGTTTGGAATATTTCCTTATATTAAGTCTAGATCTATCATTCTGCAACTTCGACCCATTGCTAATAGTTCTGCCTTCTGAGGCTAAGCAGACAAAGTTGAAGCCCCCATCCACATGACAACACTTCTTAGAAATACATGGAAATCACCATTATGCACCGCTCCCAACTGTTTTCTTCTTCTCTTCTATTATCTCCCAACGTCTGATTCAGATGTGCCCCCAAAGGAGCAAGGAGCAGGCAGTAAGTGGTTGTGCTCAGTTGTCTTTACAGGGTCTCTGTTGGTGCGCTTACCTTTCGCAGTCAGCCAATAGACATAATTAGCTCAAAACAAAGGCGTTTACAAAGGATGGTGGCTACATAGTATTCCTCAAAAACATACGCTGTCAACGGGAAGAGTGGGCACAGACTTAGAATGTGCTAGCTGTGAAGCACAAAAGGGAACAACACATGTGGCCGAGACAATTTAAGCCTCTGGTGCCACAGGGCCTCCATGTCTCTTCCCTTCTTTTGATATCTTCATGCTCCATCCCCCTGGATGCAGCATAAAGAATACGTAGTTTGCTCAGTCGCTTCCTGGCTCTACTGCTCTCTTTAGCATGACTGGCGAAACTTATTCCCTCTTGAATCCATAGCTGGTTCTTTTGTCTGCTACTCAGGGTCACATCCCTTGGAGCCAACTTCACCCACTCAATGACTCATCCCCCTCCACCTCTCTGGGATATGGTGCCTCCTAGTAGATACATAGCTTTGCTACTTGATGCTATGGCCAAGGGGGGAAGAGAAGTAGATCCTCTCTCCCCCATCGTTGCCCTCTGATAAAAGTGCAGGAGTCATACTCCACAAAGCTTTGGATGTCCCTCAACTATCTTTCAGAACGGGCAAACCATTAAGAATCTATCTTTGGCCAAATATTGGCAAGCTGTCCCTTGGATGCCATCAGGGAGAATACCTTCAACACTTCATAAAGGGATCACAAGGCATAGATATATTTTATATTTTGTTTAACACGTTACTAACCCATCTTTCTGTCACCTGTTCTACGATTTTGTAAACATGGCTGAAGGGAACTTCTTTATTTCATTCTACACACTTACTTATGAACATGTCTTGTGTCTTTCACTAAATTATAAACTCCTTGAGGTCAGGGATGTTTCATTTTTCTTTCAGTAGTGTGACTAACATTATTGCTAGGTCATGTTCTATGTAGAGTTAATGCTCAAAAAATATCTGTTGAATTGAATCAAACTATCCTATAAATGTACATTCTGCCAAATGTTTTCTGAAATGCCACCTCCTTTAAGGAACTACTCAAGTGGAAATTAAATAAAGACTCTCATCATTCCAACTAGTCTATGTTCCAACCATCTGTCTTCCAATTGTATAGCACACAACCTGACATTATATGCCATGCTTACTTGCCCATTTTGGACTGGGATAGATATTTTACTGATTAAATCAGAGTCAAGAAACAGGGAGATATTATTCTGACTGTAGTAAACACTGAAAATCAATGGGCTATGTGATAAGTGATTAAAGAGGTGTGAGTAAAGATTATATTTAAATTTTTCCCCTGAGTTTTATTTCTCTAATATATATTTTCTCCCTGAGGGCTCAATTACAAAAACAAAACAAACAAAAACACACAAAAAAATTTAAGTTGTTGGGTCAATATTCCTGATTAAGAATTACATTTAGATACTTAGCAACTGTCAAAAGGGTCCACAGTAACTAGCAGAGTGAGAATTTCAAAGAGCGCTAAAAACTACTCACATATAATCTCCAAACCGAAGATGTTTCACTTTAGATTTTGTTATCGTTTTTAAGTCATTTTTTCAGTCATGTCCAGCTCTTTGTGACCCCATTTAGGATTTTCTTGGCAAAGATACTGGAATGGTTTGCCATTTCCTTCTCCAGCCCATCTTACAGATGAGAAAACTAAAGCAAACAGGCTTATGTGACTTGCCTAGGGTCAAACAGCTAGTAAATGTCTGAGGCCAGATTTGAACTCAGGAAGACGAGTCTTTGGGGTTCCAGGTCCTATCACTTCAAAGAAGCAGAGAAAAATTTGCCATTTTAGCTGGTGCTAAAGAACTGTCAGTACGTGGAGGGGCCTTTCCCCATAGTCATGCAGATTTTATGTCTGCAATTACAAGCTCCTTAAGGGACTGCATCTACTTAACTTTCTTTTTCCAAAATGGAGCACAGTGCCATGCAAATTTCGGAGCATAGTATATATTAATCATGATGATGACTTGGCTATATTGCCCTACTCAATTAGTCTTCAGGTTTCATGAATATTTCACTATTTTAGCACGCGGTTGTATCATCCATTTGTTTACTCCTGACTCAATTATAAAGACACATGTCACAGTGATCCTGAAAGAATCACATGGAGCTGCTCTCTTTAATTTAGTGTAATGTCATTCTGCAAGAGACTATATAATTGCTCACTGTCCAGACAATAAGCATAAATGCAGAGGAATTTAATTTTCAGGTCAGATTCCATGAGATTTTGTATGTAAAGCATTATTAAAATCCACATGCACTATAATTGTGATATCCATCCATCATCTACTCATGCTTTACAATCCAGTCAAGCAAGCCATTGGGACTGGGAGGTTTTGTCATGTTTTTCTTAGTCCCTGAATTCACTGAACTCTGAGATCACAATTAATAAACTTATTTTATTATAATGAAATGTATATGAGCATATGGAAGATAACCAGATCTCAAGTATAACCTTCAAATCAAAATGGGAGCTTATAAGACATTCAGATGACAGTATAGGAGAAGAATCTCGGCATACATTTACTTATCTATTGCCGCCTATGGTGCCATGGAAAATATGCATTGCTGATGACTATCAAATACTTTTCGGATTTGATGTTAGATGTCTTGGACAAATATATATCATTGAACTAACTAGAATTATTTTGGCTTATTCTCCCTATCTTTATAATTATTTTTAATAAGAAAAATGGCGGCTAGATGACACAGTGAATAGAGTGACAGGTCTGGAATCAAGAAGACTCATCTTCCTGAGATCAAATCTAGCCTCAGACACTTATTAGCTATGTGACCCTGGGCAAATCACTTAATCCTGTTTGCCTCAGTTCCTCCTCTGTAACAAATAAGCTGGAGAAGGAAATGGCAAACCACTCCAGTATCTCTGCCAAGAAAACCCCAAATGGAGTCACAAAGAGTCAGACACAACTGAAAATGACTGAACAATGAAAAATTCAGCTACAGAAAGCAGATCATCTAAAAATTGCTTGAAGCTATAACTATTTTTTTTTAAATTTTGACCTATGTTTTCATCTGCATTTGGAAATCCTGATGTGGAAAATCTTTCCCATGATGCAGTCCAGTTAGTCAATATATCAACAAGCATTTATCATATGTTTACTAGGTACCAGGCACTGTGCTAAGCACTATAGATAACAAGAAAAGCAAAAACAGTTCCTGATCTTAAGGGATTTACATTCTCAGGAATGTATTTGTAAGTTATGGTCTTAGAAAAGTTGCCTAGGGCACTGAGCAGTTTACAGTCCTTGGCACACATAGTAAGTAAGTGCTTAATATATGATGTGATATATACAACTGGTCCATGATCACAGTATGTATCAGAGGCAAGACTTGAGTCCCATGCTGATACCCTATTCCCTTTGGCATACTATTTAGTTAAATATGACGATCAAATACATTAACAGCTAAATAGGACAATTCTAAAAGCATTGGAGGTTCAGAACAAGGATAGGGGCTTCCCAGTTTCCCCTGGAGTTCAGTCATGCTTCTCATCAGAAATTGCCCTCCTCCATACCATGAGAGTCCCCAACAGGGGAGACTCTCTAGGGGAGAGATACATGATCATGAAGGGCAAAATTCTAATTATTTTTTCACTGACTCTCTACAGGAATGGATAGACCACAAATTACGCTGGAACCCTGATGAATATGGTGGAATCAGCTTCATTAAAGTTCCGTCTGAATCTCTTTGGCTTCCTGATATAGTTCTTTTTGAAAAGTAAGTATTTTAGAGAGAAATGGGCTAAGGAAATGAACTCCAATACTCAAGGGGAAAGTTTGCTTTTCTAGTAACATGAAATGTAAAATACACAACCATATTTTTCAACAGAAAGACAAATATGAGTGTGCCCATATCCATTTTTCATAGTTTTCATAACATTTAATAGCTTAAAACTGTACTAAGACTTTTTGGAGGATGCCCTGCATAAGTATATACAGAGTAAATAAAAATATATACAAATTAGTTAAATATAAGGCAATCTGAGAGGGAGGGCACTAGCATTTGGAAGGATCAGGGCTTCTAGTAGGAGATGGTACTTGAACTGTATTGTGATGAATGAAAAACCCTGAGAGATAGAGTTTCTGGGTAATTAATAATCAATTTATTGCAATTAACAAATTGATGATCAGTGGTTTCTCTCTGTAACCAAAGATAAAAGACATGGAGAGCCTGAAAGCTTCAAATAATCCTTGAAAGGGAATTTCCTTGACAAGTGAAAATCAACCCTGGGGGCAGCTAGGTGGTGAAGTGGCCCTGAAGTCAGGAGGACTTGAGTTCAAATGTAGCCTCAGACCAAACACTTGACACTTACTAGCTGTGTGACCCTGGGCAAGTCACTTAACCCCAATTGCCTAAAAAAATTAAAAATCAACCCTGATTGGTGGATATTTAATGAGGAGGCTAAAAGTCTTTGGCTCCTTCTGCTGAGAATATGTCTTGATCATGAGACTCAGTAACTTCCAACAATCTGGATAGGCAAATCCATCTCCATCCAGGCCACTCTGGTTGGTTTTCTCCTTCAGGAGCTGAGTCACCCTAAACTCTAATGGAGGGGTACAAGGACAGGGGCTCTTCTCCTTGGGGTAAGAACTCAACCAGACTGGATTCTGTTTACACTCTAAACAGAAGTTAGGTCTCCTTCCCAAGATTGAAGAGCTTGAGGGCTAGGACAATCTCATCAATCCGTAATCTTCAGGGACTGACTTTTTTACAGGACCTGAGCCTGAAATGAGGAAATAAAGGAGAAAAGCCTTAATCCTAATTTAATAATTTGGTTGTTAGTATAACAGTAAAATAATAATTTCATCATCTTGAAAAGAAGAAAGGTCTTCTATGAGGAAGATAGGAGGATTTAGAGATGAAGGGGACCCAAGAGATTTTATGATTCTTTGGCCTACTCTGTCCCTTTTATTTTATACAAGTAAATTTTATTTTATAAGATGAAATTTATCCCAAAGAAATAAGGTGACTTATATAAGGTCACACAGTATGTAGTAGAGCCAGGTTCTCAGTTATCTTCATAGTGGGAAAAGCGTAATTCACAGCTCTGATGATGTTGAAAGAAACAACCAATCATTCCACATGTGACAGCTCTTCAGAGTGAAAGTGGCTCTCTCTCTTTCAGTGCCGATGGACGCTTCGAAGGCTCTCTAATGACCAAGGTCATAATAAGACACAATGGAACCATTGTTTGGACTCCTCCATCCAGTTACAAAAGCTCATGCACAATGGATGTGACATTTTTCCCATTTGACCAACAAAACTGTTCGATGAAGTTTGGTTCCTGGACTTACGACGGCACCATGGTTGACCTTGTTTTAATTGATGAGAATGTTGACAGGAATGACTTCTTCGATAATGGAGAATGGGAAATACTTTATGCCAAAGGCATGAAAGGAAACAGAAGGGAGGGTTTGTATTCTTACCCATACATTACATATTCTTTCGTTCTGAGGCGCCTGCCTCTGTTCTATACCCTTTTCCTCATCATTCCCTGTCTTGGATTGTCTTTCCTGACGGTCCTTGTCTTTTATTTGCCTTCTGATGAAGGAGAAAAACTCTCACTCTCCACATCGGTTCTAGTTTCCCTGACCGTTTTTCTCCTAGTGATTGAAGAAATCATCCCATCGTCTTCCAAGGTCATCCCTCTGATTGGGGAATATCTGCTGTTCATCATGATTTTTGTCACCCTGTCCATCATTGTCACGGTCTTTGTTATCAATGTTCACCACCGCTCTTCTTCCACTTACCATCCCATGGCCCCTTGGGTAAAAAGATTGTTTCTCCAAAAACTCCCCAAACTTCTGTGCATGAAAGGCCCCATTGATCGCTACCCCTTCCCAGATGGGGTAGAAAGCCAGCCAGAGGCTAAAGCAAAAATGCCAGCAAAGCAGAAGCAGAAGCAGAAGCAAATGAAAGATGGAGAAAAGGTACTGGTTGCCTTTTTGGAAAAGGCTGCTGAGTCCATTAGGTACATCTCCAGGCATGTGAAAAAAGAGCATTTCATCAATGAGGTGAGTGAACTCAGAAAACATAGCAGTCAGAGTCGGCGAGGATTATAACATTGACAATAATGAACAACAATAATAATTAGTAATAATAATAGCTAGCATTTATATAGTGCTTACCATGTGCCAGGCACTTTATAATTGTCTTCTAATTTGAGCCTCACAACAACCTTAGGAAGTAGGTGCTATTATTATTATCTCCATTTTACAGTTGAAGAAACTGAGGTAGACAGAAGTAAAGTGACTTGCCCAGGGTCGCACAGCTAGTGTCTGAGGCTGGATTCAAATTCAGATCTTCTTGACTCCAGGCCTGGCACTCTATCTATTGTGCCACCTAAACTCATCTAGCCCATGTTTCTCTGTCTCTCACTGTCTCTCTGTCTCTGTCTCTTTCTCTCTTGGAGAGAGCACGGGTTTTTCAGGCAAGGAGATGGGAGATTCTGACCTGAATCCTGACTCAAACACTTTCTAACTGTGATCCTGGGCAAATCACTTATCTTATCTAGGCCTCAGTTTAGTTCTCTAAGGTCCTTTCCAGCTCTAGAGCTAAGATCCTATGAGGACCCTGAGATACAGAAAGAGATTGAGTGACTTGCCCCATGTCACACAAGCAGTAGCAGCTAGACGGAGCAGTGGATAGAGCACCAGGCCTAGAGTCAGGAGGACCTGAGTCCAAATCTGGCCTCAGATGCTTACTGGCTGTGTGACCCTGGGCAAGTCACTTCACTCTGTTTGCCTAGTCTTCTCCTCTGTAAAATGAGTGTAGAAGGAAATAGTAAACCATTCCAAAATCTTTGCCAAGAAAACCCCAAAAGGGGTCACAGAGAGTCAGATGTGACTGAAAAAGGACAGAATGACAATGTGACTGAATGACAATCCACAAGTACTGGAGGAAATGTTGAAACAGGTTGCCTGACTCTGTATTCCCTCTTCATTATAGTACTCTACCTCATTCAATCAAAATTAAATTTTTTATAAGGTGACTAATACTGATTTTATTCAATCGGTACCTGTGATTTTACCAGTGTACAAAATTCTCAGTATGGAAACTCCTTCCACAGATGCATCAAAGCAACTCTGCTGTAACTTAGAGTCTTAGAGAGCTACCTGGGCGTGAAAGACATTAAGTGACTTGCCAATTTTCATACAGCTAATTGCCGAAAGCAGGACTTGAACACAGATCTTCCTGGCTCCAAACCCAGTCCTTGAGCCATTATGTCATTTGTTGTTATTCAGTTATGTCTAATTCTTTGTGACCCTATTTTGTAGTTTTCTTGACAAAGATATTGAAGTGGCTTGCCCTTTCCTTCTCCAGCTCATTTTACAGATGAGGAAACTGAGGCAAAGAGGGTTAAGTCACTTGCCCAGGGTCATGCAGCTAGTAAGTGTCTGAGGCCAGATTTAAACTCAGGAAGAGGAGTCTTCTGGCCTCCAGGTCTGGTGTTCTATACACTGCACCATTTCACAGGATTATTGTTCTGAGGTTTAAATAAGGTAATATATGTAAAGCACTTTTGCAAACCTTAAAGGACCATAGCAGTGTCAGCTAATTATTATTATTCTAGTTTTCTATGTGCCTGAAATGGTATTTTTTTTCTTTATTGAGTAAACCTTGAAAAAATATAGGATTGAGGAAAGAATTTTCAGGCTAAAAGTTCACAAAAACACTATGAGGAAAAGTGAAAAGGTTAAGTTACTAAGTACAAAGTGCTATTCATTCTGATCAACCTCTATTCTATTTTTAAGTAATCTAATTTTACATGTTAAGTTGGTTATCCAAAGCCCTGGTGGTTTCTCATTTTTCACAGGATGATGGTTTATTTCATCAACAGGATTTACAAATAAAAACTCAAAAAGAGTCCAGGTTTTGAATTTTTTTCATTCCATTGTCATTATTTTATTAACATACTTGGAAGAGCTCCTCACTAAGACAAGAGAAAAGTTCTGGCCTAAATGGACTGAGTTCCATAGGCCATATCTGTTTTATGCACAGTATTTTTTTTTGGAGTAAAATAATCAATGGGTATTTATTAAGCACTTACCCTGTGCCAAGTATTGGGGATACGATTCCAAAAGCAGACAATCCTTGCCCTCAGGGAACTTACATTCTAATAGGGAAATACTACACAGAAAGGGGGAAGGTGACCAGGGAGAAATAACTTGTTTTGGAAAGTGAAAGGGGTAGGGAGTAGGCTGTAGGGAAGTCGAGGATATTTTCCAAACTGGAAAGGGGCGGTTGATTTAGTTATAGTTGTGGTTCCAGAACTACTGGGCAGGAAGACTTTACCTTTTGCTAAACTACCTAGTCTCAGAGAACTCAGGGTCATTTCTACCCCATGACAAGGCATGAGGGGAGGAATTTAGTGCAAAGTAGGTTTTTTTCCCAATTGTAGGCAAAGGACTTTCAAAGACAAATCCAATATCATAAACTCTGAATATGTGGTATTGGATTAAGCCAGTACAATACAGTACACTGTTCAGTCATTCAGTCGTGTCCAACTCTATGTGACCCCAAGGACATTGTCCATGGGGTTTTCTTGACAAAGACAATAGAGTAGTTTGCCATTTCCTTTTCCAATGTGTCCCCACTTTACAGATGAGAAACCAAGACAAATAGGGGTTAAGTGACTTGCCCAGAGTCCCACAGCTAGTAAGTGTCTGAGGCCAAATTTAAACTCGGGTCTTCCCGACTCCAGACCCAGTGCTCTATCCACTGCACCACTTAGCTGCCTCACAACATGGTAAACTGAATATGAGAATATAAACTTACAAACCATGATGAAAATCTCTCTACCAACACAGACCCATCTATAACTCACCTACAATCCATCTGTAACCTGAGGTTTTAGAGAGTTACCTGAAACTCAGGCAAGTTCTTCCTCACTCACTTCCTTCAAGTCCCAGATAAAATCCCAAACTTCTACAAGAAACCCTTCCCAATTCCCCGTAATGCTAATGTCCTCCCTCTATTGATTATCTCCAATTTATCTTGCATACAACTTGTTAGTACACAGCTGTTTGCTTGGTGTCTTCTCCACTAGATCTTGAACTCCTTGGAACCAGAGACTGTCTTTGCTTTTCTTTGCATCCCCAGCACTCAGCATAGTGACTGGCACACAGTAGGTGCTTAATACATGTTTATTGACCAAAGCCAAGTCCAACATGCTCTCCGCCATGTCACTCTGCAGCTCATTGCAAACAGAAGCACTATAAATCTGAAACTTACAATCACGCATCTTTCCAATGAAGTCAGGTAAGTTACTCATTGTCTTCACTCTATTAAAAAGTCTTTTTTCTCTTGCAGGTTGTCCAGGACTGGAAGTTTGTGGCTCAAGTCCTCGACCGTATCTTTCTTTGGCTATTTCTGCTAGTATCGATAACAGGGTCTGTCCTGATATTCACTCCTGCTTTGCAGATGTGGCTAAACAGTTATCACTAAAAATAATTTTCTGTGATGGTTTCAATAATGCCATAAGGATGAAGCTATCTCTTAGAATCAATATTTAATTAGTATATATTCAGGAGCAGAAGGAGCATGCTTATGAAAATGACCTTGATCATAAAAAGGTCCTGGCTCAGAATACATTCCTGCCCAGCAGAGAAACTTCCTGAATACGGGTTTACCAATAAATGATTTTGTATTCTTGGGTCCCCATTGGAGCGAAGTATGTACAAAAAGGAGGAAGCTTCCTCAAGCTCCCAGTCAAAGCTACAACTAAGGTGGAGTGGCCAGAGCTTTGGTCAAGAGTGGCAAGATTTAGAAGGAGTACTAATAGTGCTTTTAGTTTTTCAAGAGCATAGAAACAACTGAGCTGAACGCCTAGCTAGCAGGAAGAATTAATTAAAATGAGCAGCTATCAAATGACCAAACTCCTCCCCATAGTGGCTGCAGCCCAGGTGAACTCTTGTCCAGTTCAGCCCTGCTTTGTCTGCTCCCTCCTCCTCAATCAGCAGCTTCTGCAGCAGCAGTCTTCTCTTGTCTGTCACCTCCTATTAACTGAATCGAAGGCATTTTCAGAGTAGGTTAGGTTACACTTGCCCCAGACAAAAACTGCTGGTCATCCCTCTGCTTCCACTTTTAAGGTATTTGTCTTATCCAGAGACAGTTTGGTGTTGGAGACGGGTTAGGAATACAGGTGCCCAAAGAGTAGGAACCTGATGAAGCCCCAGGGAAGATGGGGAGGCCTCAAGGTCTATGGGCACCTGTGTCCATTGGCTTTTCCTAGCAGTTTTGAGCAGGAAACAGTCGTAGAATTGAGGGTTTGGGCTTTGCTTCTCACTTCTCTAGCACCTGATAGGGAAAAAGATGCTCACCTTTTTCGGTAAAAAAAGATGAATTGTGACTATACCACAATAAAATCGATCTTTAAACTACTCTGAGAGGCAGGTTGGAGTAGCAAACAGAAAGTCGGTCTGGGAGCCAGGAAGACCTGGTTTCAAATCCTGCCTCTTACACACACAGGTTATATAAGTCACCTATCCTCTCCTTCTCCCACCCACCTCTCTAAGGCTATATAATACAGAGAAGGTGATAGGTGATTTGCCTTGATAAAAAAAAGTTCCTTACCCTGAGATTCCCGTACTGATGATATATCATAGGTCATATTAAAAAGAATCTCAATCTCTCTCTCTCCATATATATATACATATATAAATGTATATGAAATATATATATATACATATATATATATATATATAATACATACACGTGTTCATATCTATAGATCAATTTATAGTTTGCAAAGCTCTTTCCTTACACCAACATAGTTTACCGATGAGGAATTCAATTCAATAAACTTTTATTAAGTGCCTGCTATGTGCCAGGCACTGTGCTAAGCACTGGAGATACAAATAAGAAAAAGAAGTCAGTCTCTGCCCTCAAGGAGCTTACAGTCTAATGGGGGAAGACACCGTACCAAAGGAAGCTAGAAAGGGAGAAGGATGCCAGGGAGTACCAGCGAGGGGCATTGAAGTCAGAACTGCAGGTGAAAAGGGAAATGGGCTGGAAGTCCCATTTCTATCCTCTCTAAAAGAAAGATTTCAGGACAGCCAGGTGGTACAGTGGATAGAGCTGTGGCCTTGGAGTCAGAAGGATCTGAGTTCAAATATGGCCTCAGACACGTAACACTTACTAGCTGTGTGACCCTGGGCAAGTCACTTAATCCTATTGCCTAATAAAAACCAAAAACAAAAAAGGAAAGATTTCAGAGGAGCTTAGTGCTCTACCCTCCGGCACTCAAATCAGGAAAATGCAACTCAGCGAAGTTAAGAGATTTTCTAGAAGTTATACAAAGTTCTAAGTGTCGAAGTTAGAACTTGACGCCAGATCTCCCCACTCTAAATACAAATGCAACTAGAACATATACAACCAGATGAGTGATACCCTTCAAAGAAAAATCCCTTAGTAAATCTATTCCAACAACACCCTCATTCTCCACAGTGTTCTTGGAACTCATTTTTGGGAATTAGAAGAAATTCACCCTCATGATTTTATAAGCCACCTTGTATTTCACCCAATGTGATAGTTTCTAGGGTGAGCCTTCCCCTCCTCCAGCCCCTGTCCATCCCCATTCATGAGATTTGGCCTTAAATGAGTTTTGGTTGTTTTCCAAAATCACATCCATCATCCAATAATGAAGATCTGCCACCACTGAGAAGATGCCATAAAACTGAATTTGCTAAAGGATCACAGAGCTAGACCTAGAAAGGTCCATAGAGACCATCTAGTCCAATTCCCACATTTTACAGATGAGGAAACTAAGGCCCAAGGTCTCACTGTCGGGGAATTCCTCAACCTGGAGGTCCTAAGATTCACCTTGGTCCCTTTGAGTTTGACACAGCCTTAGGGCAACATTACAGGCCACAAAAGAAGCCTGCCAGGTGAGGCTACTCAGTCACTTTCCTTATTTGGGAGGTTGAATAGTAGGAAAATGTAGGCGATTGAGGTTAGGGGAGAAAATGTATTAACCTTGAGTTTGTTGACTTGTTAACCTTGTCTTGGGAGTTGCCAAAGATCAGGTATATTCTGGTAGGGATGTTTCTTTATAATTAATCCCATCTGATCATCTCAGTAGGGACTTTTGTTAAATCCCATCAGAGTGTTTAGTTGTCCAACATAGTGGACATCCCCTTCAAGATATCATCTCTCATCCCAGCTTATTCTGTTGTTGAAAAAAACAGAATGAGGGTCTATTTATACTACCCTGTAGCTCCCTTTCTTTAACCTCTAGTTACTTTTCCTGGAGAGAAGATGTTTCTCCCAAACTCACAGCCCAGGAATTTTTCCATTTCCTCCACAATACACAGGTACTTTAAATCCAGTGCTCTTTCCACTGTACCATGAAAATCTCTCAAAAAGAATTCCCACAGAAGTTTTAAAAAATGCTTTGAGGGGGACTGGAACTTGTTAGAACAGGCACTCAGCATCCAAGGGGAAGGTGATGTTGTTTACTTAAATGCATCTACATTCCAGTACCCTTAAAAAAGAATTAACTTCACTTATTAGTTGTGCAATAGATGTTAATATGATCCGTAAGTCTGTGGTTCTGTATAATTTTTCTCTTTTAATTTAGCTGTAAACACAGTTTTATTCAAGTTAATATTGATGCTCTCAAAGAGGCTTGGTTACCCATTACCCCTGCTATTGACTTGAAAGCCCTGATCGGACAAAAGGATGGTGAAGATGATGTTGACTTAATCACAAAAAAAGATAGGCTCAATATGGAGATTTAGGTCTATGAAAACAAGTCCTATGAAAGTAACAAAAATTTTTCAAATACTAGTAGAAACTCAAAACTGTTATACATAAAAACTATTCTTATATTCTTATATATTGTTATACATAAAACTCACACATACACAAATTTTATCCTGGGTACCCAAGGAATCTAGGGAGATAGTGTATAGGAATTTCTGCTTGAAGAGTTTTCTTCAGTTATTTTAATTTTTCTTCATAATTCATAATTATCTTTAATTCATAAAAATTCATAATTTTTAAATAAAATCTTCAATATTGAGCAAAACAACAATCCCTACATGATCTAGTAAAAGGTCTTCGTGAGTTGTTCGGACTAAAAAAACAAAATGATCATCCACAATCAGTGGGGTGATAAGCCTCTCTGAATTGAGCTAGGATGGTCCTTGGCACATCAGACCTACATTCCCCTGGGCCTGCCTTGGAAGCCTTTCCAGCTTGGTAGGACCTGCCAAAATTTGTATTCTCCTTTGAGAGCCTACAGTCATCTTCAAACCCTCATGAAAACTTGAGTGAAAAGACTCATAAATAGGTGGTATAATAGGGGTGCGAAGGGGACAGCTGCCCTATATGAAACCATAAAGGGACTGCCAAGGTAATTTTTTCAGCTGTATTAATAGAGCTGAGACTTTAGAAAACTTGATTTTGGTGTCCACAAGACAGAGCTGCTAGGTCTATTGCCACTGAACACAAGAGGCAAAACTCATATGCTCTACCCAATGACTTGTGTTAGCTCCCATGTATATATTTAAGTAACTGTGTTGGCTTTCATGTACCTGTACATGTGTTAGCTCCCATGCATGCATGTTAGCTTCTATGTTTGACTACACATGTATTTGACTATGCGTGTACTGTAAATTTAACATATTTAAAAAACGTGTGAACTTGATTCATTTATAAAAACAAAATTAAGGTGTATTTATTATTATGCATTAAAATAAAACGGGCTGCCTTAAATTTTTTTCTGAATTTTGTTATTTTGTCAAAAGGAGTTCTTTTACTTGATTTGTTCAAAGAAAACATAGATGAGAGGCAGCTAGGAGGTGCAGTGGATAAAGAACCCACCCTGCAGTCAGGAAGAAATGAGTTCAAATCCAACATCAGCCACTTAGTAGCTGTGTGACCCTGGGCAAGTCATTTAATCTTGATTTTACACACACACACATACACACACACACACACAGTACAAAAAAAAAAAAAGAAGACATAGACCTTTCCTGGGCTGCCTAATTAACATCCATTCTTCACTTCCGGGGTTTTAAGGCATTAACTGTGTTCTGCTTCTGGGCTCCCACATAGAGGAGGCAGGAGGAAGTTATCCTGTCAGCCAAACACCAGAACAAAGGAGTACAGCATCCCTAGACCCTCTTCCATTTATATGTGCCTCAAGCTCTCCCATTAAGGTTTCTTTTTTTAATTCTAGGCTGCCATTAATGTCCAGAGCAAGAAAGAAGGCTGTTAAGGAAGAATCAGGAAAGAAAAAATAAACAGGAGAAACTGATACCAGTGGTTACCCTTCTCTAAACCCTCACAACTGAATTCCTCACTAAGGCCTTTAAATAAGTAGATTTCCCAACGGCTACTTTTGAAAAGAACAATGAATCAAATTATTTTGAATATCTTTTGTTACGGTGAAATTTATCATGAGAAAAAGAGGGTTGTGTGGGATGTGAAGACCCTTACCAATAAATTCTGGAGACTCAGATGTAGCAAAGAGAAAGACTTCTTTATTAGCTTTCTCCAGAAAGGGCACCCTCCGTCCACCTAAAATGGCTCTGGTGGAAGAGTGCGAGGGTGTGTTCAGCAAAGAAAGATTATACAGACCCCTAACTGCAACTCCCCCTCCCTAACCCCCTTCCTCTCAGCTCGTTGGTGTAAGCCTTGAGGGCACAATCTATTCATGGAAATCTACCCAGCAATCGAGAACAAAAACAGTTTCACAAACTTGCCTGGAGACAGGGAAAGGTGGGAAGTTTTGCAAAAGCAAGCAGTTCAGGTTGGGGGTAGGGCAATTATTTTTGCTTGCTTAAAAAAAAAAAAACAGGGTCTGAGCAGGGGAGGGTTTTGAAAACGATACAAGGACTATTAACAAGAACTATTGACCCTTTGAGGAGGCTTCACTTCTGAGAGACCATCTCTCACAGGCTACTCAAACTTTCCTGAAGAGACTTCATAAGACTACAGTCATACAAATCATCCCCCCCCCAAATCTCTTGTAAATTCTTATTTTAGAAAAACCTTGTAAAACCATTGTTAATTAAATGCTTTCTTGTTGTCTATTAATAATTTTAGGTGACCTGCACACAGTCTACAAGAGAATTGTATTTACATTAAATAATATGTTGGGATCCCTCATAGAATCAATTTGATAGTTCTTTTGTATGGGTAACAGGGTAGGAACCTAGGTTCTAGTCTTGGTTAGCCACTAATTATTTGTGTGGTCTTGCATAAGTGCATTAATGCAGACTTAGGAAAATTCCAAGTACCCGTAGCCTAGTATAGAGGAAAGAAATAGGAAGTACACACTGAGGCAGTAAAACAAACCAGCTTTATTGAGTAGACATACTTATAATATGAAGAGCAATCAAGGAAGGAGGCTGGAACCAGATCAGACCTTCTGAGACCCAGGTAGAATTGGGCATCCTGTTGGGGTCCAAAAGGGAAAGGGGTACCCTTTCCCCCAAAACCAGTAAAGTCTGTTGGATTTTTATAGGATTCTTAGGCGGCGCAGTGGATAGGGTGCCAGGTCTGGGGTCAGGAAGACTCATCTTCCTGAGTTTAAATCTGGCCTCAGACACTTCCTAGCTGTGTGACCCTGGGCAAGTCACTTCACCCTGTT